CCAATCCTCTTTCTAATTTACGTAAATGATATGTTTACAGGAGTGGAATCATACATGTCAATGTTTGCGGATGACGCAAAATTAATGAGAAGAGTTGTGACAGACGAGGATTGTAGGATCCTCCAAGAGGACTTAAACAGGTTGCAGAGATGGTCAGGGAAATAGCTACTGGAGTTTAACACCAGTAAATGTAAAGTTATGGAAATGGGATCAGGTGATAGGAGACCAAAGGGACAGTACACAATGAAGGGGAACAGCCTACCTGTAACGATTCGAGAAAGAGACCTGGGAGTGGATGTGACACCTAATCTAACTCCTGAGGCACATATAAATAGGATAACGATAGCAGCGTACTCTACACTGGCGAAAATTAGAACTTCATTCAGAAACCTAAATGAGGAGGCTTTTAGGGCGCTTTACACTGCCTACGTGAGACCCGTCTTAGAGTATGCCGTGCCATCATGGAGCCCCCACCTGAAGAAACACAAAGAAACTGGAAAAGGTTCAGAGGTTTGCAACGAGGCTTGTCCCAGAGTTACGAGGGATGGGATATGAAGAGCGTCTGCAGGAACTGAACCTTACGACACTAGAGAAAAGAAGGGAGAGAGGAGATATGATAGGGACATATAAAATACTCAGGGGAATTGACAAAGTGGAAATAGATGAAATGTTCACACGTAATAATAACAGAACGAGGGGACATGGGTGGAAACTGGAAACTCAGATGAGTCACAGAGATGTTAGGAAGTTTTCTTTTAGCGTGAGAGTAGTGGAAAAATGGAATGCACTTGGGGGAACAGGTTGTGGAAGCAAATACTATTCATACTTTTAAAACTAGGTATGATAGGGAAATGGGACAGGAGTTATTGCTGTAAACAACCGATAGCTGGAAAGGCGGGATCCAAGAGTCAATGCTCGATCCTGCAAGCACAAATAGGTGAGTACACACACACACACACTATACTGGAGGGGTGACAGGTAAGCTTCTAACATGGATGAAAAATTTCCCGACTGATAGAAAAATGAGGGCAATAATCAGAGGCAATGTATCGGACTGGAGAAATGTCACAAGTGGGGTACCACAGGGTTCAGTTCTTGCACCAGTGATGTTTATTGTCTACATAAATGATCTACCAGTTGGTATACAAAATTATATGAACATGTTTGCTGATGATGCTAAGATAGAAGGAAGGATAAGAAACTTAGATGATTGTCATGCCCTTCAAGATGACCTGGACAAAATAAGCATATGGAGCACCACTTGGCAAATGGAATTTAATGTTAATAAATGCCATGTTATGAAATGTAGAATAGGAGAACATAAACCCCACACAACCTATAAATTATGTGAGAAATCTTTAAAGAACTCTGATAAAGAATGAGATCTAGGAGTGGTTCTAGATAGAAAAGTTTCACCAGAGGACCACATAAAGAAAGTTGTGCGAGGAGCCTATGCCACGCTTTCTAACTTCAGAATTGCTTTTAAATACATGGAAGGAGAAATACTAAAGAAATTGTTCACGACTTTTGTTAGGCCAAAGCTAGAATATGCAGTGGTTGTGTGGTGCCCATATCTTAAGAAGCACATCAACTGGAAAAAGTGCAAAGACATGCTACTAAGTGGCTCCCAGAACTGAAGGGCAAGAGCTATGAGGAGAGGTTAGAGGCATTAAATATGCCAAAACTAGAAGACAGAAGAAAAAGAGGTGATATGATCACTACGTACAAAATAGTAACAGGAATTGATAAAATCAATAGGGATGATTTCCTGAGACCTGGAACTTCAAGAACAAGAGGTCATAGATTTAAACTAGCTAAACACAGATGCCGAAGAAATATAAGAAAATTCACTTTCGCAAACAGAGTGGTAGACGGTTAGAACAAGTTAGGTGAGGTGATGGTGGAGGCCAAGACCGTCAGTAGTTTCAAAGCGTTATATGCCAAAGAGTGTTGGAAAGACGGGACACCACAAGCGTAGCTCTCATCCTGTAACTACACTTAGGTAATTACACACACGTATGGGCCTGGTAGCCTGGTGGATAGAGAGCAGGACTCGTAATTCTGTGGTGTGGGTTCAATTCCCGCACCAGGCAGAAACAAATGGGCAAAGTTTCTTTCACCCTGAATGCCCCTGTTACCTAGCAGTAAATAGGTACCTGGGAGTTAGTCAGCTGTCACGGGCTGCTTCCTGGGGTGTGTGTGTGTGGTGTGGAGAGGAGAGAAAAAAAAGTTAGTAAACAGTCAATTGACAGTTGAGAGGCAGGCCGAAAGAGCAAAGCTGAACCCCCACAAACACAACTAGGTGAATACCAGAGAGTCTGGTAGCCGAGTGGACAGCGCACGGGACTCGTAATCCTATGGCCCGGGTTCGATTCGCGGACTAGGCAGAGACAAAGTAAGGGGGTGTCAAGTAAGTTTCTAACATGGATGAAAAATATTCTAACTGAGAAAAATGAGGGCAGTAATCAGAGGCAATGTATCAGACTGGAGAAATGTCACAAGTGAAGTACAGGGTGGGGCCTTGATTTACGATGGTAATCCGCTCCCAGAGACGAATCATAAATCGAAACAATTTTCCCCATAAGAAATAAAGGGAATTGAATTAATCCGTTCCACACCCCCAAAAATATTAACTTAAAAACACATTTTATACGGAATACAATTTTTTTCTCTAACAACAATACAGTACATATGTTTATCTTACCCCTGTGGAGGACTCTTGATGGCATATGGAAGATGATGAGGGGGAAGGAGCAGAGGTGTTACTGTTTGGAAGGGGAGTCCCCTTTCCATTCTAACATCAGGCAGTGATGATTTCTCTGGGTACTCTCTCTCCTACGTTTTGCCTGCATACCACTTGGACCTGGTTGTGGTTCACTGCTAGTTTGTCTCACTATAAATTTGTCTAGCGATATTTGTTTTTCCCTTCGTTTTAACATTTGTCTGTAGTGATACATCACAGTGTCGTTGAAAAGGTTAAGGAAACGGCCTACTGCAGCTTGATTTGGGCGAGTCGTTTCAGCAAAAGTTTACGGTTCTTCCCATGCTGCACACATTTTCTTAATTTTTGAGGAAGGGATATTCTATACTGCTTCTATGGTCATCGGGGTATCCAGGTGAGCAACCAACCTAGCGTGTTGCAGCAACCGATATCAAGCATGCAACACTTAAGCCGCCTGTACCCTAACTCCAATAACAGAAGACTGGGTAATCTGGGGCTCGAGCAAGGAACAAGACTCGCAAGATTCTGGGTCAAAGGTGTAATTGACTCAACAGGCAGCATTATGGAGGCAAAACTGGCGAGTGTCATTCTGAGATAAAGGGACATAGCAACCATCAAACTCTCACTCGGCAAGATGATACCCAGAGGACGTGTCTATAGGGCTCAAAGAGCCCCAATGGGGTTTTCCAGGGCCTTTAGGCTGACTGCTAAGGAAAGCCCCAGACAAGGTATTGCCAAACCAGCTAGGCCCAAACTACCAAGAGAACTGTTAAACAATTGAACCCCTGCAACATGTACAAGCACTGGGGCCTAGCGGAGGACCACCAATACAACTGGTGGATAAAAAACCAAGGGGCAGACCCCACTAGAAAAAACAAACAAAAATAAAAAATAAAACCCCGTGAAAGCACAACATCTGTTGGAGGAACAGAGCCAGCTGCTATGTATAATGGGAGACAAGCTGCACAATACCTTGCGCCCATTTCCTACCCAAGGCCAAACAGTGGCTACAAGAACCCCAGCTGGCAATTGCCAAGCAGCAAAAGACCTCTATGGAAGTAGTTCCCGAATGCTTTGTGGAAGGTAACCCCCACGACACAAGGGCAGTACCCTGTACTTTAAGGACACTTAGGGAAGTCAGCCCTAAGCACATGCAGCCCCAGTACTGATGAAGTACTCCTGGCCTGTACACCACACACAGCAGAAATACACCACAAAGCACAGAACTGCAGAGATTCAAAGGCCAGAGTCGACGACCACCATCAGCTGAGGAACTAAATGCTGGAGCGACCGGTGCTGAGGGGGAGGGGGGGGGGGGGCCTGCGCAGACACTTGTCTGTTCTGCCTCTATGCTCGGTTTCAGGTAGAAATTTCTACCATGTGGAGTTTGTTTTGTTATGCCTACCTTTCTGGATGCCAAACCCCAGTCAATGGCAGACATTGGAAGGGGAGTTTGCCACAAAATATATTTGTGGCAACACTCGGTGCTTGAATGGCCTATGCGACCGTGTGGAATGGAATTATTATGGAATGTTTCCAAATACATGGGGGCTTCCATAGGCCATTGCTCCTTGCGCCTCTGTGAGGGGAGGCCGTACTGGCACGTGGTCCCCAGTAAGCAAGAACTCCATCGACTGATGCCATGGTCTAATACATACTGTACGTATCAGCCCGGAAAGCTCCAGGGAGTTGTAGGGAATCCCCACAGAAATATATAATTTCAAGAAAATTTGGCTTGTTAGGAAAATTGGCCTATTAGGTACAAGAAACATATATTTATTTTACTACAATTATTATATTTCATCTTTGAAAATGTAGTATAATGTGTTACAATATATCCAGTTAAATTTAAGAGAAAATTTAATAATGATATACATGATTCTTGGATGACAGATTCCAAAGAATTCATAATGTTGAGAGCAGGCTGGTTAATGGGCACTTTGGTAAAGAAATAATAAAACTGCAAAAATAGTGATGGCATGTACCCTGGCCTTAAGAAAACAAATTAAAGAGGGGAACTGGAGAGATTATTTTAACTTAAAAGTATTTTCTATTGTATGAAAAACATAACTGGATGGCCCAATTTTCTATATGGTATATCTAATCATTACCTCGAATGTAAGACTAGTATAAGAAATACTGAACAGTACATCTTGGGAGTTAAAAAAACTGTGATCATGGAGCAGCCATTGGGAGAATGCATTTTGTTCATTAAATTTACTAGCTTATCAACCTATTTGGCAGCTGAAGAATAATAACTTTAGTAAAGAGCACATACCAATACAGGTTCGTATGAATCTGCATCATCAGTGAGAAATGCAAACATAGCACGAAGGTAGGGATCTGTTAGATGAGATCGCAGATGCACACAGGTCTCTCTCCACAGGCCCTTACGTTCCTCTGTAAAACCTATATAAAAGAATTAACCAAATGATAGTACAATTGTAACTTTAATTTAACAACTTAACTGCACCAACCGAGTATTCATGGTCGGTGGGAAAGTGCTCCAACCGAGAAAACTCTGATTTTTTCGTACCCATTCTAAATGTGTGCGAGGTTGGTTGTGTATGAAATGGACTCTTAGGACCTCCAGCAAGAGGCAGCCATCTTGGAAAAAATTCCCAGAATGCCCTAGGGCTGCTGGCTGGGTTAGTACTGTGTGAGCAACCATGGGTGGTGTACGCGCCTCTGGCTCCCAAACACCTGTCTGATGTGGTGTTCAAAGATTGCTCTCTGTCGGTTAAATTCAAACCTTATTATTTGAAGAACATAAGGGTCATAATATTGGTGAAGCTAGGCGCAATAAGGAACTAACACAAAAGTCGGATGCAAGTGATGTAGCACCTATTAGGACAATACAGCGAGCGTATCCAATTGTAGCTCCGAGCGCCATCCTTGCCCACTTATGCTATGCTATCTCCAATTTATTTAGATGATACATAGATGAATCCTTTTCTGCATTCAGTGATGATGCATCTGATACAAGTAGCATAGATGAACAGTGTTAGCGGCTTCCATGGTGGTGTTTTCCATAGATATTTTCAAGAATAGCCGAATCTTTTCTTGACTGATGGACACTTTGAGGCTGGCTGAATCTCTTACAGACTGACGGACATTCTTTGAGGCTTGCTGAATCTCTTCCTGTGTGGGACCTTACAAAGTGATCTTTTCACGACTACCTTGCAAATTGATCTTTTCCTATAATCTTTTCAAGACTACTTTGCGTTTTACAAGGTTGGCTACATACCACCTACAGGTACTAATGCCAAGGGTGTACGTGAGTGTGTTATTTGCAAGCACACAGAATGATGAAACAGGAAGCGAAAATCTATCTGTATCTGGTGCAACGAGAGCGAAGCCGCGCTGTGTACCATGGACTACTTCGTTGATTATTACTCACTTCCGAAGGACTAAGTGTATAATACAGTGTGTTACTGTGTAAATAGTGTGTGAAACTGTACATATTGTAACTTTAGTGAATTTTTAACAAGTAATATTGCGACAATAAACATTTATTGTGGACACATTACTGACACATGTATCACAGTGCCATGGAACATTATGAACGTTCTACTGTATACATATTGCAAAGGACACAAATATGCATCATATACGATAAAAAAATAAATAAAACCACATTGGAAATACATAGAACAAATAATTGAAAATATATTTGTGGCAACACCCGGTGCTTGAATGACCCATGCGACCATGTCTGGGCGAGTCACGCAAGGGCGACCAACCCGTGATGACGTCACAGAGCACCTTGTCCACGTCCCCACAACCGAAGTAAGTGGAATTTGGTATTTATTTTCACATAGACATGTTCAGGGAAGGGAATTTATAATTTTTACAAAGAAAAACGATTTTTTGGGAACATTTTATTTCATGCGCACGGGGAATTTCACAATAAACGCGGCGCAGCACGGTGGTTAAGCAAATACTTTTACCATGATGACTTCTGTATAAATTCAATTCCTTCTCTGGAGGAGCCCCATCAGCTACCTGAAACTATTATATACTGATCAGTAGTCCCCTCAGGGAGGCGCACGGAGCGATGGCCTATGAAAATTTTAAATATAAAGTTTAATCATACTTGCCACCAGCAGAAAAGCACCCAGAAAGATAGGCAAACCAAACCAAACTACTGCATAGTTTAAAAAATGAGACTACAGCCTCAAAACTAACAAAAGAACTCCCCAAAAAATAAAAACAACAACCAAATTTACTCAAAGCTATTGCTGGCTAGTTTGCCACACCATCCTCCCTCGTTTGGGGGGTAGGAGGGAGGAGTACCATGTCAGCCAGCTCACACCAACCTTAGTTCTTGTTGATGTGTGCCCAGGTGTAAACATCAGGCACTCTGGTTCCAGTCACTTACCTGTCTAAAAGGCCCTCAGCAACCTAAGTTGTTGCTTAAGGGCTTTGAGAAAGGGTTGCCTGGTTGGGTTCTGAAGTCCGCTTTGGTTTTATAGAGCCTGACTGCATTCCAGCTGTTTCCATTCGCAACTTTTGGCTCTTTGAAGCCTGTTCGGACCCCTTAGGAGCGCAATTGTTTTGCAAGCTCTTTCCATTTGCCCCTTTGGCTCTTTTCTTTATTTCTTTACTTCTTTATTTTTATACAAAAAGTATGTTGGATTTATGGGTGTCCATAACATTGGTGTGCTGCTATTCTTACAAGCCCACTAACACGCGTATCATTTTGGAGGGGTGTAGTTGGCTTCGGGTGTGATCTCTGTGGCCTCGTCCCCTTCCTGTGTTCTGCCCCTTTTTCTGCCTTTGCTGATGTTTGGGAGCCCAAATGTCAACTTTTCTTGTCGGTGGGATTTCAGTGTTGCCAGTTGCAGCGCCATTCACAGCATCATTCCCCGACTGTGAGCCTTTGCATTGGTGCCTTCAGTTGAACTGGTCATGATGGGAGTTCCTCTCTCTTTCTCCTAGTCCTGCTGTTACAGCTGGTGTCTTACAGGGAGTGTGTGTTGTTCTGGCTTTTTGGTGACTGGCCTTGCTTTAGTTTTGGATAGGCTTGCTCAGTGTCCAATTTCAGGAGTTTTCTTGTGGCTTCGCTCCCTTCCGAGGGTTGGGCAAGTGACGTTCCTGGCTGGTGCTGCCCACTCTTCCTCTCTTCGCATCTGGTATGTTGACGCATATGTGGATAACCCTCTGTGGTGATCAGGTGGCTTGTATAAGGTGTCTTACTGCAGTTTTTCTAGCAACAGTATGGCCTCCAGGTAATCTTTTTGCCATTTTTTACCCCTTTCGCCATTGTTCTTTAGTTCTGGCGAGTTATTTTGTCCTTTCTTTCAGGCGGTTTCTTGGTTGGCATCTTTGTTGAATGCTGTCACCTCTTTTATGCAGCATTGGTGGAGCCGCTCCTGCTCGAGTTCGGGGTTGCCGAATCCATGGCCCTGTTTCGCATGCTTCTCATGCTCTATTTCACCTCCGGCCTGCTCGTGCGCCACCTAAGCCTGCTTGGTCTCTGGCCAGGTTCTTTCTTTTCTCTCCAACTCATTTTCCAGTGGTCCCCCTTCGGTCATGGATTGTTTTAGATGGCTCCTTTGCTTCTTTGGCCTCTAGTTGTTAGGTGAGTGTGCTTCATGCTCTCCTCCATCACCAGTATTATTGTTCCTTGGACCTGGTGGGCATTTTGTTCAGTTGCAGTCGGCACCTCCTTTTCTGACGAAGAATATGTTGGATGGCTTCCGGAGAGGTCCTTTGGTTGTGGATGCTTGATTGGTTCTGCTAAAGGTTCTTAGCACGATTTGTCCAATGGCAGCTTTACGCCGCTAACTTCGTGCCACCAGTTCTGTTTCGGTGGGCGCTTTGTGGAATATTATGGTTTCCCTGGTTCAGGGCTCATTTGTGTCAGGTTGTTCAGTCTAGCCAGCCTGCGGTCTACTCTAGTGCTCATGTTGTTCGTGTGTATGCCGTTCTGACTGACAGGCGGCTGCACTGCACAACCCAGAACGAAGTTGGGACAATTGGCTACAACTCCCGACCCAAGGCGACACACGACCGCTGAGGGCCCGGCACAGTAACAAGAAAATGGGCAGCCAGGACCCTGTTCGATTGCCAAAACCCCTCGTGCCCAAAAGTCAGCTCAAGACATAGTTCCAAACACAGCAGCCAAAGCTGCAAATCTACGAACACCATGGGCATGAGGGTAGATCGCAGGCTGGTGAGATGTAAGAACCCTGAGAATGACCTGAGAGACCAAAGCCCTGGAACAGGGAACAAGAGATACAGAATCAACCCATAGCACGTCCTTGGACACCGAAGCCGAGGTGCGCAGGAAACGGCATAAAGGTGCAACCGGACACAAAACATGATGTACCATTGGCCTGACCAATAAACCATCAAGAACCCAAGGACCTCTCCAGAAGCCTAAACCATGTAGAAAAATCCACCAGAGAATGGCAAACCAGAGGAAGTGACATATCTGGGAGCCCCAGAGCACAAAAACACACTAAACACACGCACCAACAGACCCCCACACAACAAGTCCGAAACAAACATCACAGAGTGCCACCCTGGCAGCCAGAAGCGCAAACCAGAGAGCAAAATGACCGCCAATGTAAACAAGGCCACCGCAGACAGGGAAAAGCCTTGGAGGAGCAGGGGGGGGAGGGGGTGGAGAGGAGCAGGGGGAGAGGGGGTGGGGAGGAGCAGGGAGGAGGAGGAGGTGGGGAGGCGCAGGAAAGGAGGGGGTGGGGAGGAGCACACCAACAATGGAAGGACTCGAGGGTGCAGACAGAACCCAGGCCAAAGTGACCAACGCCCCTAAGTCTGAACCCTAGCCAAAACAGGGCAGCTTCAGGGCATTCGAACAGGCGACCAACCCTGCATGTTGCAACAACCTAAACCTACCATGCAATGCGACAGCCGCATGACCCCTAAGAGCTTCCAAAGAAGAATGGTTAACTGGAGAGCGTGCAAGGAACAAGACATGCAGGACTCCGAGTCGAATGGTGTTGATGACTCGACAAGCATCTAGACGGTGGCAGAACAGACGATCGCCACCCTAGACAAGGGCAACGAACAACCTATAAACTTGCACATGGCGAGATGAGATTATAAGGACACATCCAACGGTCAACTGAGCCCAGACAGGGTTTTCTAGGGCCTGCAGGGGGTTGTTTCTCTACGGAAAGGCACACCAGCAGGGTGAAGCCAATCAGGTTATCTTGAGATGATTTCTGTGCTTAGCTTCCCCACGGCTCGGTCCTCGACCAGGCCTCCATTTTGTTACACCCCCTTCCCCCCCCCTCCCAAGGAAGCTCGTAGCAGCTCGTAGCAGCTGTCTAACTCCCAGGTACCTATTTACTGCTAGGTAACAGGGGTATCAGGGTGAAAGAAACATTTTGCCCATTTGTCTCCACCTCCACTGGGGATCGAACCTGGAACCACAG